CCTCCCTGTAACCTTGAAGCTCCCTTCCAGAATCCTCCCCACTCATGCCTTCCATCACATCAAGAAAAGTAAGGCTAAACTACAGTAAGAACCTGTCTGCTTCCTCCTACCTCTGTGAGGTTCACCATTGCTACTGCCGTCGTAACGATGCACACCTGCTGAACTCCCTTTGATGAATCATTGTCTTTTCTCAGCTTTTTGCAGTCTTTGCATTTGCAACATGTGGTGGCTATTCTGGAGGACTGCGGCTCAGCGTGGACTGTGCCAACAGGACACAGAGCGACCGCAGCATTGACATAGCCTTTGCCTATCCCTTCAGGTAAGGTATTGTTCTTCTTTGTCACCGGGTTTAAGATGTAGGAGACAGCTTGAACAATTTTCACAACAGCAGAAAAGGCTGCTGTAGTCTACTCTAGTTAGCACTGATGGCTATTCACGTTATAGGATTCCTGTATCTAGCCTGAAAAATGTTACTAGAGGGCAGCCACTAGATGGCAGCCAAGAGATAACAAAATGTCCACTTTGGTGCCACTTAGTGGTTATCTAGAGTTTTGCTGCACAGATATGGTAAACCTGTGGTGACTATTTCCTGATGTCTCAGAAATAGGTATAGTTATATTTAGATAATTTGATGTTTTGTCAAGGCCATGGCAGCCATTTGTAGAAAATCCACAGTATGTTCTCAAAATTCAGTCTATGCTTGCTGGCCAAGAAAATTATCTACCACTGGTTTAGCATTACATGCAAAAGCTGTTAAATCCACTTTCCTGCTCAATCCTTTTGAAAGCAGTAATTTTAAAAGAAGATTGAGAGGCTCAGCTTTATAAAATCTGAAATAAACTGACTCCTAGAATGTATTATTTAATCTCATGTTGCTGCTGATATATTTTGTAGGCCTAGTTCAAAGGATAAGGCCAAGTGAGAATTGTGCCCAAGACAGCAATAAAATATTTAAAACCTACTGGTACTGTAGTACTTTACATAGTACTTTTACATAGTACTTTTACTGGCAGTTTCAACATAAAATGGGGCAGGATAGACAGTTCTAAAGAAGTCATGAGCATTCCTCCATGTTTCTAAACTATCATGGAATACCTGCAGGAGACTCAATACTTTGAAATAAAATTAATAGGTATTTGTTTATTTCCATATAAATTCCATTCAAAGAATTGCTTGTTTAAAAAAAAAGTACTGCCAATTCTCTATAAAACACCTGTTTCTATAAGTCATCATTTGC